GGATATCATGATCTTAGTTTTTTCAACGTTGTGTTAAAAGTTTGTACAAATATGGTGGCATCTGTCCTCTCTCAGATAGTAGAGAAAGCAATGGAGAAAATGAGTCTGTAATATAAAAATAATGAAATATTCAGAAAAGATGACTGTGCCATTTGGGGTTTCATAATATATAAGGAAGAGAGTGCCATACATACTCAAATAGAAAACGTAGGAAAGGCAATTCCAAAAAATTAAGCAAAGACATGAATTATCCTTAAATGGAAACATCAAATTTTGGGAGTTCCTTGGTAGCCTAGTGGTTCTGATCAGTTCAGTTGCTCATTCGTCTGCAGCACTTTGCAACCCCGTGGACTGCAGCACACCAGGATTCCCTGTCCATCACCGACTCCCGGAGGTTGCTCAGGCTCCTGTCCTTCAAATGGGTGATGCCATCTCATCCTATGTCGCCCCCTTCTCCTCCTGACTTCAATCTTTCCCAGCATCAGGGTCTTTTCCAATGAGTCAGCTCTTCACATCAGGTGACTAAAATATTGGAGCTTCAGCTTTAGTCCTTCCAATGAATATTTAGGACTGATTTCCTTTAGGATTGACTGGTTTGATCTCCTTTCAGTCCAAGGGACTCTCAAGCATCTTCTCTAACACCTCAGTTCAAAAGCATCAATTCTTTGGCACTTAGCTGTCTTTATAGTCCAACTCTCACATCCATACATGACTACTGGAAAAATCATAGCTTTGACTAGACACACCCTTGTCAGCAAAGTAATGTCTGTGCTTTTTAATATGCTGTCTAGGTTAGTCATAGCTTTCCTTCCAAGAAGCAAGTGACTTTTAATTTCATGGCTGCAGTCACCATCTCCAGTGATTTTGGAGACCATGAAAATAGTCTGTCACTGTTTCCATTGTTTCCCCATCTACTTGCCATGAAGTGATGGGACCAGATGCCATGATCTTATTTTTTTGAATGTTGAATTTTAAGCCAGGTTTTTCACTCTCCTCTTTCACTTTCATCAAGAGGCTCTTTAGTTCCTCTTCGCTTTCTGCTATAAGGGTGGTGTCATCTGCATATCTGAGGTTACTGATATCTCCCCCGGCGATCTTGATTCTAGCTTGTGCTTCATCCAGCCTGGCATTTCGCATGATGTACTCTGCATATAAGTTAAATTAGCAGCGTGACAATACACAGCCTTGACGTACTCCTTTCCCTATTTGGAACCAGTCTGCTGTTCCATGTCCAGTTCTAACGGTTGCTTCTTGACCTGCATACAGGTTTCACAGGAAGCAGGTAGGTGATCTGGTATTCCCATTTCTTTAAGAATTTTGCACAGTTTACTGTGATCCACACAGTCAAGGCTTTGGAGTAGTCAATGAAGCAGAAGTAGATGTTTTTTCTGGAATTCTCTTGCTTTTTCTATAACCTCGTGGATGTTGGCAATTTGATCTATGGTCCCTCTACCTTTTCTAAATCCAGCTTCTACATCTGGAAGTTCTTGGTTCATGTACTGTTGAAGCTTAGCATGGATGATTTCGAGCATGACCTTGCTAGCATGTGAAATTAGTGCAATTTTGTGGTAATCTGAACATTTTTTGGCACAGCCTTTCTTTGGGATTGGAATGAAAATCGATCTTTTCCAGTCCTGTGACCATTGCTGAGTTTTCCAAATATGCTGGCATAATGAATGCAGCACTTTAACAGCATCATCTTTAAGATTTGAATTAGCTCAGCTGGAATTCCATCACCTCTACTAGCTTTGTTCATAGTGATGCTTCTTAACGCCCATTTGACTTCATAATTCAAGATGTCTGGCTCTAGGTGAGTAATCACACCATCGTGGTTATCCACATCATTAGATCTTTTTTGTGTAGCTCTTCTGTTTATTCTTGTTACCTCTTCCTAATATCTTTGGCTTCTGTTCTGTTAATATCTCCTGCTTCACTGCTGTGGTCCAGGTTCGATCCCTGGTCAGGAAGCTGACATGCCACAAGCTGCTAGTGTGGCGAAAAAAAAATTTGTGTGTGTGTTTCAAGTCTGACTGTGTGGATCACAACAAACTGAAAAATTCTTAAAGAAATGGGGATACCAGGTCACCTTACCTGCCTCCTGCAAAACCTGTATGCAGGTCAAGAAGCAACAGTTAGAACCAGACATGGAACAACAAACTGGTTCCAAATTGGGAAAGGAGTACGTCAAGGCTGTATATTGTTACCCTGTATATTTAACCTATATGCAGAGTACATCACTCAAATAGTAATGAATGAGTAATCAGTAGTACATTTGAGAAGACATTTCTCAACTTTTCTGTGTCTGTCTGTCTGTCTGTGAACTGGGTATTATAATGGTAAGACTGCATATCTACAAGTACCCCCATACATAGTAAGAATTCTATTAATGTTAATTATTATAATCATCTAAAAGTAATAATGAATCCTGCTAAGGACTCTTTGGAGTGCAGGTTTGCTTCCTTGAAGGAATATATTCCAAACAACAATAAAAAGAGTATCAACAAAATCTTTAAGAATATGTATGTATGTGTGTTTGAATTAAATACATTAAAGTATAGATAGAAAAAAAAAAGAAAAAAAAATAAAGTATAGATAGAAACATTGCTGGTGAAAATCACGTAACATTAATAGAAGAAGAGGAGAATGACTAAGTTTAAATGTTTTTTGTGTTAATGACAAATTTCATCAAGCTGGAAGGCGTTAATTAATCACTGTTAAGAAGGAAGCTCCAGATAAGGACAAGGCTTGTAGGGAGCATCAGGTTGGTTAAATAGTTCAGGGCTGTAAACCCGGGACAATTAGAAGAAAGAGAGAGAAAAAGAGGTGCGGGATAGGGGAGAAGGGAAGGGGAGGAGAGGGGGAAGAGGCGGAAAGCCAGGGGGAGGACAAGGGAGATAAGGAAGGATATATATGTGTGTGTATGTGAATGATCTGGCTTAATAGTATTTCATGTAAAGACTACCAGTGCTTAAGCTTAGTAGGTTTTCAATAACTTTATGTGAAACTGATTGAAGGCATAAGGCTTATAATTAACCACAGACATACGAGCCAGTGGTGTAATGTGATTTCCAGAATGCCAAGGCAAATCTAAACTAAATTGATCTGTCTGTTTTGAGGGAGACAGCAATCCCACCTGAGTCTTGCTATTGGTATGAAGTCAAGATTCTGAGCCAGTTCTGGATAAAAATTCTAATAGGAATATCAACAAAGTTCACTGCTGGGCTGAGAATGATTAGGTCTCTAGAAAACCATGACTTAAGAAAAAGTTGAAGGAACTGAGACTGCCCTGAGAGCTATCTTCAAATATTAGAGGGATCCTGCCCATGGGGGAGGGATAAATTTACTCAGTATTGCTGAGGGGGTCAGAAGGATGAACAGAGGAAAGTCAGAATAAGCCCTCAGATTAAGGAAGGACTATGTGACCTAAATAACGGTCAATGGAATGGGCGGTCTCAAAATACAGAGGAGAATTTTCTGTCGTTGGCAAGGAATCTATTTAGAGGCTGGATGATCATTTGTTGCAGACTCTTGCTTTGTGGAAAATCATCATCTGTAATGTCACATCAGACTCCAAGGTTTTGTTTTTTTTCACTTGAAGTGCTAAATTAGAATTTTATTAAACAATGCTGTCAGTTTCTATATGAGCTATTTTAACACTGTCTTCATTTCTGTAAGTGATACATGAACAGTCATCAGTATAATGATAAATTCAGTCAGTTCAGTTCAGTCTCTCAGTCGTGTCCAATTCTTTGCAACCCCATGGACTACAGCATGCCAAGCTTCCTTGTCCATCTCCAGCTCCTGGAGGCTGCTCAAACTCATGTCCATCGAGTGGGTGATGCCATCCAACCATCTCATCCTCTGTCCTCCTCTTCTCCTGTCTTCAATCTCTCCCAGCATCAGGGTCTTCTCCAATGAGTCAGTTCTTCACATCAGGTAGCCCCAAAGTATTGGAGCTTCAGCATCAATCCTTCCAATGAATATTCCAGACTGATTTCGTTTAGAATTGACTGGTTTGATCTCCTTTCAGTCCAAGGGACGCTCAAGCATCTTCTTCAACACCACAATTCAAAAGCATCAATTCTTTGGTGCTCAGCTTTCTTTATAGTCCAACTCTCACATCCATACATGACTACTGGAAAAACCATAGCCTTGACTAGATGGACCTTTGTTGGCCAAGTAATATCTGTGCTTTTTAACATGCTGTCTAAGTTGGTCATAGCTTTCTTTCCAGGGAGCAAGCGTCTTTTAATTTCATGGCTGCAGTCACGATCTCCAGTGATTTTGGAGCCCAAGAAAATAAATTCTGTCACTGTTTCCATTGTTTCCCCATCTTTTTTCCATGAAGTGATGGGACCGGATGCCATGATCTTAGTTTTTGAATGTTGAATTTTCACTCTCTTTCACTCTCTTCTTTCACTTTTATCAAGAGACTCTTTAGTTCCTCTTTGCTTTCTGCCATAAGGGTGGTATCATCTGCATATCTGAGGTTACTGATATTTCTCCTGGCAATCTTGACTCCAACTTGTGCTTCATCCAGCTCAGCGTTTCTCATGATGTACTCTGCATATAAGTTAAATAAGCAGGGTGACAATATACAGCCTTGACATACTCCTTTCCCAATTTGGAACCAGTCTGCTGTTCCATGTCCAGTTCTAACTGTTGCTTCTTGACCTGTGTAAAGGTTTCGAAGGAAGCAGGTAAGGTGATCTAGTATTCCCATCTCTTTAAGAATTTTCCACAGTTTGCTGTGATCCACACGGTCTTTGTATAAGAGTTTGTATAAGTTATAGAGTTACAATCTGATTATTCAAATAGCATCCAATATCACAAAATTTAAGTAAAAAGAATTTGGAAAGTGTCTGAAGATTGTAATGTGACTTGAACTATGATAGTGTGTGTTATTGCCACATACCAACTTAAAACATGAATTATTTTAAACTTTGAACTGTTGTTAAAGAATGTATGCATAGCTCCTTTTTTAATTGTTCTAATTTCAGTTCTTAAAGATCCAAATTTCATTAAGCAGTATTATAATTGGAAGAAAGATGATCTAAGACATACTAAAGAATGGAGTTTGAGGTAAGTAATTTTAAGTGTCTAGAATATTTTCCTATGCACCTGAAATATCTATTATTCACTTTCTACTAACTGAACTATTAGAAGAAACCCATTGAATTTCTTTAAAACCTGAACAAAACTAAGTATCATTTTGTCCTTTCTTATGAACCCAGGTGGGAAATATCTTTGCTATCTACTGGCTTCCAAAGATGGAGACAGGACCTGAGCCACCGTGAAGGGATCTCACAATACTTTTCCTATTAATTTTCTTGTTTCTATCCTCATTGTTGTTCACTCACCAAGTCGTGTCCAACTCTTTGCAACTCCATGGACTGCGGCATACCATGCTCATCTGTCCACCACTATGTCCCAGAGTTTACACAAATTCATGTCCATTGAATCAGTGATGCCATCTAACTGTCTCATCCTCTGCCACCCGCTTCTCTGCCTTCAATCTTTCTCAGCATCAGGATCTTTTCCAGTGAGTCAGTTCTTATCATCAAGTGGCCAAAGTATTGAAGTTTCAGCTTACATCAGTCCTTCCAATGAATATTCAGGGTTGATTTCCTTTAAATTGATTGGTTGGATCTCCTTGCAGTCCAAGGGACTCTGAAGAGTTCTCCAGCATCACAATTCAAAAACATCCATTCTGGGACTTCCCTGGTGGTCTAGTGGCTAAGACTCTGTGCTCCCAATGCAGGGGGCCTGGGTTCGATCTCTGGTCGGGGAACTAGATCTCGCATGTCACAAATAAGACCTGGTGCAACTAAATAAATTTTTTTAAAAATCAATTCTTTAGTGCTCAGCCTTCTTTATGGTCCAACTCTCACATCTGTATAGATCACCAGTTAGCTTTTCATCTTTCTCATAGTTTCAAATACCTTTTCCTCTTTCACAAAAGGATTATTCACTCAGGAACCAAGTATATTAAATTAATGAGGAAGTATGTAATTAAATACAATGATAAATTATGACAGTCTCTTTTGGAATTACTTTTAGACCACATTAAGGAAGGGGCCTTAATCTCAGCTTTGGTCTTCTGACTTCTGAAGGCATGTTTTTTGCTTCATCTGCTTAGAGCACAGATTCCATCTCTGCTCTGTGGTACTGGCTCTGTTGTAATAGTCATTTATTCCGATGTGTTTATTTCAAAGCATGCAGTGAATGTACTACCACAAAGCTAGGGGAATTACAGCTCCTATTTTTTTGTATTTACTTCATTTTTTAGCGCCTTGTTAGCATTGTGACCTCTTTACTAGGTGAAAATACAGGATTAATAAAAAATAGTGTGCTTATTATGAATTTGTGTAGAAACCAAGGCTCTTAAAATAGACTTTCCTGTCCTTTAATATCATAGTTCAGATCGAATTTTTCGGTTGGAGAATTTTTTTCAGTTAGTTTCTGCATCAACCTCCCTTTGAGCCAAAATGGAGAAAAGCTTCTGTATTAGATAGATACTTTTCTGCTTTCAGAGTAAATTGCAAGCAGTAGAAAAGTTTTTATGGAGCAGAAGTTGAAGAAGTATGAGCATGGTTTTTGTTTTTTTTTTTTCTGGAAGGCATACTTCAAGTTTCGCTTAAAGAAACCTACGTAGAATATAAGGTTAATTTTGCTTTGACATGACTTCCTTTTTTATTTCCTCTGACAGAAATACTTTGTTTTATTTGTTTGATTATTGATTCATTATGTAAGGCCAGTCCCACAGAACTCAAAATGCAGAAAGAGTAGGACCATGTCATTTTAAACTTATCCACCCACTTCTCCCATATGGCTGAAATAATTGTGAGCTGTTGGAGTGCTAGAACATTTTCCAAAATACATTATTTTGAAGTTATAGGTCAGATTATCATGTGCATGGTAACCCTGTCAGAATAAAACTCTCACACCTTATGCCATCTGGTGGTTGATGAGAATATATTTAGATCAGATGATAACAAAACATTGATTTAAACAATATTTAAAGTGTTTAAAAGATATATTTATCTGCATAATTTTATTGCATGCAAAGATATAAAGTATGGTGGAATCCAATTTTTAAAATAATTAATAAAAATCTCGTGTTTATCAAAATACATAAGGTGTAATAAAGTGGTCAATTCACGAAATTCAAGTAAAATTTTTGGGGATCTATGCAAGTGAGTAGTTGGTCTATGTGTATATGCAATATAATACCTTATGCATCTCTCTGTTTTTAATATCTGAAAATGCTTTCCTCACATGGAAATTTCCCCTTTTAAAAGACCCAGAAAATGCAAGTTGAGAGTCTTTCATCTAGAGTTCAGGAAAGAGACTTATCCCTTCTGCCTCATGGTCCTCCCCCTACTGTCTGGAATCCCATCCCCTCATCAATCCAGACTGATTCGTAAGCTACCCTAAATTCTTTTTTTTTTCCCCTCCCTATTGTCTGGGAACATGAGATCTTTTCACCACTTTGTGCCTTCTGCCTGGGTTATCTTTCCCATTTTGTCTGAGTTAAAAGGTGGGACGTGGGGCACTTAAATGCAGGGACGTGGGAGCCAGACTTTTTGCATCTGAATCCTGGCTCTGCCAGTTACCAACACTGTGACCTCAGGCATGTTATCTGACTGCTTTGTCCCTCAGTGTCTTCATCTATTAAATGGCAGTAATAACTCTACCCACCTCCCAAGGAGATTGTGAGGATTAAATATACTGATATGTGCATGTAAAATGCTTCAAACAGTATCTGGTACATGTAAAGTGTGCCCCACTTGAGGTTCACTATTATTCATCTTTTCCTTACTGTGGCCCTAGTTCAATTGTCTCGTGGGAACTCTTTCTTTCTGGGCAGCATGGGGAACAGGGGTGGGCTGTAGTGTCAGACAGATCTTGGAGAAATTCTTACCCTCTCTGAGCTTATCTCCTTATCTATTATATGAGATATTACCTACCTTACGAAGTGGTTTTGCATTTGATCTCTTGAATGAGATCATACATATAAAAACCACAGTGTTTAGCACATGGACATTCAGTAAATATTAGTTCCCAAGGAGAGGGGGTGACAAAAACCCATGTTCCCCAACTTTTTAGAGAATAAAAATAGAAACGTGTTAAACTGTTGAAATTTTCTCAGTCTAGAAACCAAACATCAACACCTATCAAGGCCACATTTATTCTAACCCCACTCTACCCATGGTTCTTTTCCCTTCTCTGTCCTGTTGCCTCTTCAGCCGGGCAAAGCGCTCCACAAGGATGGCATGAAGACCCAGCTCAGCTGTGTTCTGTGGAACGGTCCCTGCTTCAGGCTCCCGTGTCCCCCCATCCTTTCCTTCTGGAGCATTCTGTCCCTGTCTCTCTGAGTGCCTGTGGTAGGGAAATTCATCTGTTCACGCAGAATGATCGGGGCAGGACCGTTCTTGTAGCTTTGTATTCTCTGCACTTAGCCTGGTACCTGGCAACTAGTAGGCACTTGATTCATGTAAGTTGAATGATACATACTCACCCTGTTTTCCCACTTAATAAAAGGATTAAATGTGAAGGCATTTAATTTTAGGAAAAGTAAAATGTTGGGGCCCATTTTAATGTACTGATTATGGTTATATTTGAGGTATTCTAAGGGTATAGTCATAGAGCAGTGATTGAAAACTGGAAATATAAATGACTGTCATGAATATTTTATGCAAATTCTTAAGTTTTACACATGTTTTTAGTTAGTATTAATAGGAGCTCACTGTCATTATTAGCAGCTCATAAATATTCATGAACCAATCATTTGGTTTGGTGTTCATTTCTAAGGTCTTTTTTCTTTCCTATTGCCTTGCCGGACTTTTGGCTATTCATGAAAAGGCTTTATGTCTACCAAGAAATGGGAAAGAATATGAACCTAGAATCTAATCAGTAGTTCATATTAATTTTCTCTAGAGAAAATAAAAGCTGCAAACTAGGAAAGCAGTGCAAGCTTTTCTTTTGACTATCCTTACTTAAGCACATGTAACATGACTTTTACATCATACTCTATACCTAGTGATTGCTTATCTGGTCATGGAAAGAACTATGGCAGTCACCTAAGCTTTGTCAGCCTGCAAGTTATCTAAATAAAAGTTATCAATTCTGGAGAAGTTTTACATTCAGTGTGACTTCGGGAGAGAATATTGCCCTTTTCCATACTTTGAAGCACAAAGGAAACGGGAACTAATGTGGTGATATACCTACTGTATGCCATGCATTCTCTCTTCATTTCCTAATGTGACACTGGCCACACTGTGGAGTGGACAGTTACACCTCCAGGCATAAGCACACGCCTCTAAGTGTAACCCACAAGAATATCCATCAGCCACCTTCAAAGCCACAGCAAATCAATCTACGCTTCAAGTCAGACCACTTGCCGTGTCATACAGACAGAGCCTCATGACAATGTTCCTAGCTTCCCTTTTCAACTGGATTGTGACTCCTAGGTTTCTGGACAGGAGTGTGGAGGAAATGTAGAGGTAAATGTAATAAATGAAAAAATGAGGCACAAAGAGATAACTAACTTGCCCAAAGTTATTGATAAAAACATACTGTTTTTGAAAACTGAAACTCTACTTCCCATCTGCCTATGAATATGTGCTTATTAAAAGCTTAAAATTTTCAGGTACATGTAAAAATACTACCTACCCAATTACTAACACAAGTCAAGCCTGCTATTGTGAAAATGTTTTGTGGTTTTGGATCGATTTTAATTCTATTACTAAACAGTGTTAGTTCCCTTTTTCTTCTGTATAAAACGATTTGTGCATGCGTGCTCAGTCGTGGCCAACTCTTTGCGACCCCCTGGACTGTAGTCCACCACCCTCCTCTGTCCATGAAGTTTTCCAAGCAAGAATACTGGAGTGGGTTGCCATTTTCCTACTCCAGGGGATCTTTCCAACCTGGGGATCAAACCTGCATCCCCTGCATTGCAGGCGGATTCTTTATCGCTGAGCCACCAGGGAAGCCCTTTAATAAAAATGGATTGTTGTTACTGTTACTCAGTTGCTGAGTCGTGTCCAACTCCTTGCAACCCGGTGGACGGCCGCACACCA